TAAATATAAAAATATTGCATATAAACTCGTGAAAACCATGTAATTATTAAAATACTACAGTGCTTCTAATAATTTGATCTAATTATTACAATATAATAATATAATACCTGTTGTAATAAATATTCCATGTTTATATAATATATCGTCAAATTTATCCAATCATCGAATTTATATTATATATATCGCGTAATTTAACCATTTGGTACCCGAATGTAAACAAGTGCAAACCGGTTTCAGTCACGTGATAGCAATCAAGCTTTATGCTATCACCTGATAATTAAGATTTTACATGGAATATTATTGTGCGTCGAATAGTTTGGACAGGGGCTGTACATAGCTAGTTTTATTTCAGGTAGTTGGCAATAAGTCTCGAGCAGTGAATGCTTATTGTAAAAGGTTCTGTCATAAGGTTAATTGTAATCAGCCTGATGACATTCAGTCTGATTGGATTGCCTATTTCCGACTTAGCTTAATATAGGTTAAATTGTAATGATTCCAAAAAGTTTCAGCAAATCAAAAATAAAGCAAATATTATAATGCAAAAACTTTGTCCATTTTTTTTTTACTGAAAAGTAACTTTAAATGCATTTTAGCTTACGAAATTTGTTTCTTACAAAACTATTCTTCTTCCGGCTTGCCAGGAAGTACAATTTTCAAGATAGAAAAAAAAATGGTGATTCTGAAGTGTAAGAAATCCCATACCATCAATCTTATCCACCATATCCGTTGCTCAATCTTCTCGAAAATGGATCTAGAGGAGTGAAGATAATTGAGGCCACCTTGGGTCACGTTTTGTAAGAACACCTCTAGAGAAAATAGGCCCTTGTCGAATCCCTCCTTACCTGATAATGCTTCAAAGAAGAGCTGCTGAAATATCCCGAAAAAGAACACATTTCTACTTTTTATGCCTTTGGCTTCTGCTGAAAGATCTCGAATAAAAAGAGATCGAACTATTTCTTGATTCTTGTAAAAGTTACAATGTTCTTGGAGAGAGAGAGCGCATGAAATATTAAATAGGTTAAAAATAGCTTTTAATTTTCAATAAAAAGAAAAACTTTTCTTTATATTTGTGGTTTAGCCATCTTGCACCAACAGCTCAATAAAACCAACTATAATTCTATTCAGATTAATGGCAAAATATTATTTTCTCATTGTTTTCAGATTAAGAAAGAGCAAAAACTGTCTCAATTCTTAATAGTAATATAAGAGTAAGGTTTCTATTCATTAAACACATTGACAAGCTAAAAAAATACTAATCCCTTAAGACCCTCCTCCTTAGCGGTGTTGCCATCTCGCTTTTTGATGCTTCTCTTTTTATGTTAGTCGTCGTTTATAAAAATTTCGCTAACTTCGTGCAATCTTATAATTACTTCCATTTTCAACACACTAAACTCTATAGTCCTATTGTCTTCTATTTAAATCAAACTTTTGAGATTGTTTAAAAAATAAATAATTAGGTGACAAACCACATGATATAAAATAAAAATAAAAATTTATCTCAATATTATATTAAACCTATTCATAAAACTTTTTCAATTTATAATTTTCCTTTTAGGCTTTCTGGAAAAAGAGTTCAGTTAAATGTGTTCTGTTTGACTATTTTGAATTAAAATTAAAATTAAAGTTTTTCTCACTTGATGCACTGTGTACAAAAAAGAAAATTGTGGTCAAAATTACCCGAAAATGGTAAAATTTACCGTGTTTCTGGCCATATGGAAACACCAAAAGTCTCGGTAATTTTTACTAAAGTGATGAAATTGGTAAAATTGAGAATAAAATATGGTTTTGCAATCTGTGATAAAATTTAGTAAATATTGGAAAATCCATTAATTTTTTTATGATACCTTAGATCATGGCATAAAAATTCAACAGATTTATTTCATCATGTGACTAGTTATTGATTTTTGCTTACTTTACACCAAATTTTGGTAAAAAAATTATTTCTTCAAATAAACATCTTTGCTAATATTGAGTATATTTGATAGGTAAAGAGTAATGTAATGATAGTCTGAATTTAATAAAGAGTGTTATTTAAAAAATAGTCTTTGATTAAAATTAACATGAGTTTCATGAACGCAATAATATATTTTTTTCCTTATTATAAAAAAAAATATATATATATATAGTATTTGACATTCACCTTAAAGAGATATTTTTAAAAATAATCAATTAAATAATCTATAATAAAATAATCAGAACATTTATGTTATATTTTCAAAAATGTCAATTTCGAAAGTTGTTACTTTCTCATTTTGCAAAGAAAATCCTATGTGAAGTGGTCGACTTTCACCGTTGATTATCAACAATCGCAAAGTTTCTTGATTAAATGTCGGAAATATATTCTAGACCTCTGATTTGATATTTATATATATATTATAAGGCAATATATATACCTGGCGTATATTTATATATACACCAGGTAAATATTTGATCGCACTATTGTTGTTCTAAGGCCAACTGCAGCAATCCGGTATACATTTGCTCGGTATTCCGGTATTCCTCATACTGATGTTTTTCCTAATCTATGCAATAAGTACTAAAATATCAAAGAATAAAAAAATTTCACATTCTCTACCTCTACATTTTTTGTTAAACCCGTTATTCACTTAAGAATTTTAATCCCTTAAGTTCATCTCTATGTAAGCTATAAGCTAATTCTTCCATCCTGATATCTATCGGTTTCATGCTTTGAATGCTTCCAGAATTTTCTAGACAAAAATAAATTATAACTTATATGTACTAGCTATTCTCGAATGAAATTATTCTCTGTCGATGTGAGTTCTGTGCTCTAGTGAAATGAAAAAGGAGACGGAAATTAATACTTTGAAATAAATTTTTATTGATTTCTACTTTTTAAATTTTTTAATATATATGTTAAATTTTTTTTGAGTGAAGTTATGTAGCTGTCAAAGTATAATTTTATTAATTTCATAAGAGAGATATTTCTATGGCAAGGAGTTTGAAAAAATTTTCGGCGTAATTCATCGAATTATTAAACGCAATAGATTTTTTTCCTCAATTACAACTTTGGTTTTCACTTAATTTTTTTTAGTAATTCTCTTATGTTTTCCTGAATATTTTAGTTTTTTTCCTGCATATTTTATTCTTAGCTATCCCAAATATTAGATAACTGGAATTTGGTAATCAATCTGAACCAAACAATTTTACTCCTAAGGTAAACATGTTTTCTAAACTATGTATCTTTATTCTATATTAGGGTTACATTTTTTTACCATAGACCAATATTGTTGTATTAAATTTGAGTTTATATTTGTAGACGAATGTATTTTAAAGTAAAATTTTGGGGCTACTTCATTTTATGAAAATAACTTTCCATTCATTTTATTTGACTTGCAAGAAAATAACATGCATAAATTATTATCTTATCGTAAGAAAATAACATGTATAACGTTTCCGTACCTTGATAAAAAAGAATATTTTTATCATGAACCAAAGATACATTACATATAATCAACAGCCGGATCATTTTTGTGAATCAGCGGTACATTTTTAAATTCGTAATGTTTTAATATTACTTTATTACGTAAAATGAGACATGTGCTAACTTTTTCCAAATGAGAAAAAACAATCGATAACAATATTTTCACGTACAATGTCAGATACATTAAATTACAGTATTAACTACCGGCACTTTGGGTGCACCGTCCGTTAAATCCCTCTTACCGTAAATTATTATACCTCAATTTTTATACTAGCAATCAATTATATTAGAGGGAGTTAATCATTTTATGGCGGTTATTAATGTAAAAATCTCGGTATATCAGATTTTTTTGTTTCGTAACATATTCCGGTAAAAATTGATTTTACAGAAAAAAAGTACCGGCACCCTGAGTGCCAGAATTTTTTGCTAAGGTTTAGTTTCATCAGGTGCGTAAGAGCTATTTTTATAACTCAGAGGTCTCCCATTTTTTTCTCCACCACTGAATTAATGTCTAAAATAAAAATTTATCTTGTTCTGATAACTTTTTTCAGGTTTCAGAATCTCCGAAAAAACAAAGCCTATATTTTGTAAACAAAAAGCTTTCATAAAATCTATCTTTTACAAAACCAATGTTTAAAATAAAATATATCTTTTTCTGACTGACTTTTAAAAGTTATAACGTCTTAAATACGCAAAAAGCTATTATTCTTTACGCAGAAATACTTCGTATTGTCTATATTGTACCTAATAAATGTTTAAAATAAAGTTTACCTTAATCTGATTGACTATTCCAAGATTCAGCGCTTTCAGTGAGTGAGAGCTATTTTTCGTAACCCAGAAGTATTCAATTTACTTTTCTCTTCAACTGAACCAGTGTTTAAAATAAAATGTATTTTATTCTGACTGACTTTTAGCGTCTTAAGTGCTCAAAAAGCTATTATTCGCTATTCAGAAATATTTCCAATTGTTTATATTGTACCTAATAAATATTTAAAATACCCTTTACTCAGAATTATTTCAGTCTGTCTAGCTTGTACTGGTTCCCAATCAAATTATGGTGAAAAGCAGCGGCACTTCAGGTAAATCATTGATATTATCCATTTTACAGTTAAACCCATTTTTACCATGAAATATTTGACCGTAATTCTCACTGTAATGTTTATTTAATAAAAATGATTCTGTGATTTTACTGTAAGAATTGCCGTTTATCAGATTTTTTTCCATCACATATTCGGGTAAAAATGGATTTTACCGAAAAAAGGACCGACACCTTTAGTGTCGGTAATTTTCGCCGTAATTTAATCCGTAAATTTTTATATTTCTTGGAATTTAAACTAGAATAAAGCTTAAAATCCAAGTTTCAACGCCTTCAGAGCTTAGAAAACTATAGACATCATTTAAAAACCATTAATATCATTGTAGTATTTCGTAGGAAATGTGATAGATATATTATTGATAACTGCTGCTTATTTTATTTTGATTTTATTAAATAAAACTTTTGGATTCTTCTGACTTTGCATATTAAACTAAGACAATTTTTTTTCTTAATATGTTTCAGGATTCAGGATTAAGTCTTTATTGTACAAAAAGCTGTTATTCGTAACTCATGTGTATTATAAAAATGCACGAGTATACCATTGTACCAGGACCTATATTAACGTAAGTGTATTTCATACTTTCTTTCTTTTTTCTGTAGCAACTGCTTAATTTTATATTAAGGTAGTTTCACCAAATTGGCATAATATTACTATCTTCAATTTGTTGCGAAAATATCCATCTCAAGTAAAAAGCGTCTTATTAAAAGTAGAGGGCAAATAGTATTCCTTAATATTCCTGATTGGATTTTATTCATACAAAAACACTGTCGACATACAATATTCTTTTGATTCTTAAATGAAATGTTTAATTTTAGTTACATTTATTTACCACATTTTTTTTTTATTTTTTCAAAATTAAATTAATATCAAGTAAATATTTCACTTAATATAACTTTTGAGCTTAGAAACAATTTAAAATGTTTTTATTATCCTTGAAAGAATATGACGCTTTTGTGTATTTTTTTACACACTATATGCAAATTAATTTTATAAAAAAAGTTTAAAAAAATATCCTTCATCAAAAAGGCTATGCATTCATATATATAATTTTGCATACAGTGAGACATTTAAAAATTCAGTGTGATCTCCTTTGAACAGATTAACAGTTTGAGTGCGATAGCGCTTGTTATGAGCCAAAAATGCAGAGCTTCTTTTGTTTTGTACCGAAAATGTAATAATTGAGAATGAAAGGTATTTTTGTTTGTAAAAATTACTTGTTACATAATAAATAGTGTTAATTATAACCATTTCTATTGTTCTCCAAAAAAAAAACTACTACGCATTTCATTCCGCACTATTAGCATATATATAAGCAAACTCTTCAGCACTCAAACGGTTAAACTCTTGAATGTGTTTTCATAGTGAAGCAGAAATATTCTTGATTTTATCGACAAGAAACCAGACTTTCACAGCATTATTGTTCATGCTCTTTTAAAGCTAATCTCTCAAATGTTATTTAATTTATTCCAGAAAACCTCAGTTTTTTTAAGTAAATGTATTATGAAAAATATTTATTTTCATTTTCTTACGTAAATCTTCTGACCACATTGAGCACAGTCTAGTTGACATATAACAGGGGTTTCCAACTTACATGAGGCCGGGGGCCACAAATAAAAGCACAAATCAAATGATGGGCCGCAATTTTATCAAAATTTTTTGTAGGACTCTTTTATGTTAGAAGGAACATTAAATACTACTGTCAGAATTTTACCAAGTTGTACAAAATAAAAGTATTGAATTACAAATTAAAATAAGAAATATATTTTTAAAAATATTTAATTGTTAGTAATAATATTTTTTAAAATATTAACTAAATAATAAAAATTTGGGCTTCAATAAATTTAATGCGCACCTATGTATTAAACAATCAATGTGCAACAGATATCTAATTGTTAAGGTATTAAAATTTACATAGTAGCAGACAAATTATTCAAAGAGAAGATTGAGGTTTGTCTGCTCCAACCACCAGAGAATATATATTTACATTTTAAATTTAAAATTTACAAATGTGTGTGTAAATATTTTCGTCCAAAATGAGTGGTTTCAAAAAGTTAAATCGGAGAATTTTTTCGAGAAAATTTTTGATAAATCATGCTAAATTATATTCACAAAATACAAAAAAAATTAAATTAAAAAGAGCAACCTACACGATTATTTTTGTTGTTGTTGATTTACGTCGCACTAAAGCTGCATAATGGGCTATTGGCGACGGTCTGGGAAACATCCCTGAGGATGATCCGAAGACATGCCATCGCAATTTTGATCCTCTGCAGAGGGGATGGCACCCCCGCTTCGGTAGCCCAACGACCTGCACGCAAAGTCGAGCATTTTACGGTAAAACAGTTTAACGAGGACCAATACCGCACACGCTCGGTCCCTACGCACACTGATCCAAGTGGTCACCCACCCGCACACTGACCGCAGCGATTATTTTTGTAATTGAATAAATATTTTTTTGGATGCAAAATCTGAAAAATAAATTTCTTTGCACCGTTGGTATGTTAAATTTCACAGAAACGAAGAAATTAGGTTTTTATTAGCGAGAAAAGTATTTTAAATCCATATAGATTTTTTACGAAAATTGTCCGCAAAAAAATGACAACTAATATATTTTAGTTCGTGGNATATATATATATATATAGGCATAACTAAGGCCTCTATTTGCTGAAAAACAGCTTAAAATATTTGTTTCAAATGGTGTTTTATAATTTGTTTGGCATTTTGATAATAAACAGTAAAAAAATACCAACTTGTCCTAATTATTTTACAAAGTATTGTATATAAATTATAAGTCATTATTTTATAGATATCCTCATTACCTAGTAAGTGTATGCTAAATATACGTGTGCATTTAATTTTTTTTAAGCGCAAATTATACTGATTTCCTGTTTTTGATTTTATTCCTTTTTGCATGACCATGTTTCCTATATCGCAAATGCTTTTTCTCATATTGAAAAGCATAATAAATCAAAATCATACGTCTGACACAAAAATTTTATTTACAATATTTTTTTTCTTCAAAAATTAACAAATTATTAATCACAACACTGATATGAATGAGATTTCAAATTATATGGTGTAAAAATTCCAATCACATAAGCTTTTATGCGTTCTTATGGACGTATACTGTTTAACAGACAAATGGTCGTTATTAGCTCGTAGTGCCTGCTTCTGACCTAAAAAACAAAGATTAAAAATACACTTAGTTAAGCATTAAGTATATAACTATGCATTTGAAAATGATTCAAAATTAAAATAAAATAAAAAATTTCCTAAAGAAAGTGACTTATAACATGACGACAAATTATTTTAATAGATATTTCATTTCGTTTATTATACAATTATATAGTTAAGATAAAAATAACATTTCAAGATTGTTTTGTTATAACCTATTTCAGTAAGTAGTTAGTAAGTTCAACATTGTCTTAAATATGAATAAAATTACGTTTAAAATTCCTTTAAAAGAAGTTTATAATTATTTTTAATTAATTCTTTTTAAGCTTAAGGGTACACTGGATGATAAAAACAAGGAAAGTGCAATTTTCATTCGATCATTTTGAAATTTTAACGGAATATTGTTGGCATTAATAGAAGTTTGAGTACAATGTTTTAGAAAGAAAAATAATAAATAGTTTTAAAGTTATAGCTAAAAGTATGGTTTTCATTTGTTGATAATTAAAAAGTTCCTTGCGAACAAATTTGAAATTATTTGAATTAAATTTTTACATAAGTACACTGTTTATTGGTAATTAAATAAATTTAAGTGGTAATTGTAACAGCTATAACCAAGACATTAAATATTTATTTTGTCACCAAAAGTGTTGTGGGGTGTCACCAAAAGTGTCGATCACGCCAACCTTCATCTATCAAAAGGTACCTCGTGATTGAATCAAGTTAGCATGTCTAATATACCAGTGAATTGATGTTTAATTTTCGTAGTGGTAGTTAAGGCCACAATACTCCCCCACCGGAATTTTATCAAGGATTGAATTCGATGGACCGATACCACTAGTTGCTGTACTTGTGATGGACCGGGAGAGGTGGTTTTAAGGTCACCGGGTTTTTGAGTGCTGAATGTGAGAGGTGTATTAACTTCACAGTCGTAGTTGCTCCTGTGTTGCCATTAGTAGTCGAGTGAATGCAGGCAGACGTTGTGTTCAATCGAGATGTGACTAAGTAGCAAAGCGTGAGGAGGTTGATTATGACGCTGTCACAAGTAGAAAGTCAAGTGTTCAATGTGGATCATCCAACGAAGTAGGCGTTACCGAAGTGGGCGTTACTGTGTGTACAAATCACGTCCGGAGGTTACCAATGTGGGGGCGGAGTTATCGACCATGCAAACCGTCTTATCAATTAAAAGGTACCTCGTGATTGAATCAAGTTAGTATGTCTTATATATCAGTGAATTGATGTTTAATTTTTGTAGTGGTAGTTAATGCAACAATGTCTACGAAAAACAAGTTTTAACCATGTTTGTTCTATTATCTCAACTTTTTGCAGTTGTGGGAACATTGTTACTAGAAAAAGCAACTTTTCATCGAGAACTACGTTTTGATGTATGAAGCTTTACAAATTTTTAATCTTATAACTCGATAAGGAAAACTCAGATTTAAACATGGTGTGTTGCATATTACTTAATAAAGTATAAATTTTTTGAATATCTCAAGAACTAAAATAATAGATTTGTGAAGAATTTCTCGCATTCTTAACGTTCATCGTCCAATTAACCAAGCAGTTCCTTAAAATACTTTACGAACTCAAACTTTACATACTTTAGATACTCAAGTAACTAAGATAACTCACTCTGTTTTAAGAAGAGACTTTAATGTCATCTGTTCTGGACTGATAACATCCGTGAGGATGGGTTTAGGTATATCACATAAAATGGTTGGTGGATCAACAAAAGTAACAGTTTTGATTTTGGCTGGTTTTGATGTGTTTGTAAGCTCTGTTTCAGTTGATCCACTTAAGTGTCTTTTAATTTCGCTACTCTCTACCAGATCGAACATGGGTTGATCTTTAAATGCTTGGAGTGTGTCAAAATCGTGCAATATAAGAGATGCAGGTGCGTCTTTCAGGAGATAAGGCTTCTTGTAAGCTGGGTCTTCCTCCGATTCAGCTCTCTCCGTCTGAAATAAGGAAATAAAAGATGTAGTTCAATTTACTATTGTAATAATTTTTATAGAAACATTCAGCTTTGATTTCTACTTGAAAATGTATAATAAATGCTTTGGGAAGGAATTTTGAAATTTGTATTTTATTGCACCCGCTGGATTTAAAATACAGTTGAAATTGATGGTACAGGGCCATCGGTAAAAGCAATAATAAGTAGTGACAATTTCAAGATAATAGCCCCAGTAGTTTAAACAGCAGCGTTCTTCTAAAGATTTCTAATTTCAATCAATTTTGCATTATAAGTTAATCGAAAAAAAGTAAAAACTGAAAGAATACTTTGCCAAAAAATGAACATTTTAAGATTGTTGGGAAATTATCTTGATCTTAGTTTAATTGAAAATCAAAAGAATATTTGCTAGAAAAATTGAAAATACGTAAAGCAAAACGAACATTGCATAAATCTGGGAATCAGAATTTTTGTTTCACATTTATGAAAATTATTGATCTTGCCTAATTCGGGTGTGGAGATTTTCAAATTTGATATTAGTTTTGCTTCTAAAACTACAGATTTAGCTTAGAGAGAGAGATACCAATTATAGATTTAAAAATAGGATAGTACCTAAAATTTGCTAAAAAACCTTTTGCAACAGAATGAAAATTTATATATATGTATATACACTCTATAACGAAAAAATCAACGCACCAAAAACGTACTAAGACGCGCAAAATCGACGCTCGATAAGGCTGGAATGATGCCGACTGGGGACGTATAGTCTTTAGCGACGAATTCCGCTTCCAACTGTGTCCTGACGATCATCGAAGACGTGTTTGGAGACTCACAGGGCAGAGGGGGGATCCTGCCTCCACTATTGCACGCCACACCGACCCTCAACAAGGCATTATGGTCTGGGGTGCCATTTCCTTTAACAGCCGAACCCCTTTGGNAATGCACCTAAGTTAGCAGCGAGCGAAGCGAGATTGGTTTGCGAAGCAAACCATATAAGATTGCGTAGCAATTTTCGGGGGTTGGCGAGCGTTAGTGAGCAGGGGGCGCAGCCCACTAGTGTACAATAAATGCTTTGGGAAGAATTTTTAAAATTTGCTTTTTATTGCACCCGCTGGATTTAAAATATAGTTGAAGTTCTTTTTGTTTTATTAAATGGAATTAGCAGCATTTTATCAGAACTTTAACACTATAAAATAGTTTCGTTGCTTAAAAGTATACGCATTAATTGAATCCATCATTAATTTGTATTAATTTAAAAAATATTTTTGGGTTTTTATTTCTTATGATGGTACAGGGCCATCCGTAAAAGCAGTAATAAGTAGTGACCATTTCAAGATAATAGTCCCAGTAGTTTAAACAGCAGCATTCTTCTATAGATTGCTAATTTCAATCAATTTTGCTTTATAACTTAATCGAAAAGAAGTAAAAACTGAAAGAATACTTTGCCAAAAAATGAACATTTTAGGATTGTTATGAAATTATCTTGATCTTAAACTAATTGAAAATCAAAAGATATTTCATTTGTTTCTTACTAGTTGACTTTGACAGTTAACTTTAACTAGTTAAAGGAAGATGCAGTTGCTAAAACGGAATTATAGAGAAATAACGCTAAATTTAAAAAAAAAAAAAAAGACTATCAGTGAAAAAATAAAATTAGTTATAAACATGATAATTAAGATTAATTGATATTTGGAAAATAAATATTATACAATATATGCTATTAGATAAAATAAATAACTGAACATTTATTATTTAATCTATTTAACTTAAATTGGATATAATTAAATTAGCAATAAAAAATCAAATTAACAATATTAAAATGATTCTTATTATGTCATTAAATGTTTGCGGTAAATGAACTAGTGTTACTTGGATAAAATCTTTATACATATAAAAATATCGATGTCAATGAAACAAAACAAAATAATTATGGATAAATTTATAAAGTTATAATTTAAGTATTTACAATTTTTATTTATTATAGTTTGAAATTAAAAAATCATTTTATTTCTTTGTTATTAATTTATAAAATTAAAGTTGATAAAAAATTGCATTTCAAAATTGTAAAGAGTTTTCTTTCTTATATCAAAATAAGAAATAAAATCTAAAGCCAACTGCATAACAGTTTCAGAGAAAAGACATCTTTCGTAAATTCCGTGACTCAAAGTGTAAACGCAATATTTGTTACCAAATCCAGCCATTTTTCTTGCTTTGTTCAGGTATTATACCCACAATAAAAATTTTGAAACGTTCATTTATTTATCCAAACGGGTTAGTCCGAAGGTTTTTCATTTATTTTTCAAGAAGTTGATAGGCGGTATTAGATATTGATAAATTATTACTGCAATATTTTTCTGCCGTACAAAGACATTTCCTGTAGCAATTTTTTTAGAGAAATAGCTTTATAATTGATCATTAAAATTTATATTTTGATGGAATATAATTTTATAAATTACTTATTTATAACTTTATATCCTGCTATAGACGTGAAAAAAATTATATTATTTCACAATACTAAAATCTTTTTGTCTTTTAAATATATCAACTTGATTGCTGCTTATTGCCCTTATTAGGCTTTTTTTTCTCGTCCATTTTGATTGTCTCTATCAATAAGTATTTGAACGGACATGCATACGGTGGAGGTGGAATTATTGTCTGGGATGTTTCTAAAGCATAAGACGTGAACCCTTAGTCGAGTTTTCCCATGGTAAGCTCAAATCCGATACGCTCAGCACTATTTGATTTTAGTTTATAACCGATGTTGAACAACCAACCAAATCAAGACTACAACTAAGTAGTCTTGTATTAAAATTTGAACTCAACCCATAAGACAAGGGAACTCCTGGATCAAGCATTGGGACAAAGCAGCCTTCGTAGAGGACTTTTTGAGGGAACTAACCAACGCGGAAGGAAAAACTACAAAAAACTCTTACGGTTAATCTGATGGCAAGAGAATTCTTACCCATGATCGTCTACCACTGATGATATTTAATGTCGGAACTATGATCGGAGTGAGCCGGAAGCAGAATTCGTATCAACCAGCCACGACTGGGATTCGAACCAGTGGTATTGATTTCTTAAATTGTTATTCTGTTTCCAAGTTTAACACACGTCTTACAAGACGATAACGTTAGCTAATATGCTGCGCGAACCACCATAGAATCGTATGGTGACAATAGAGTGAATGACCTGTCCTGAGTCCAGACCTGAACAAAGTTGCATCAGAAGAATTGAAACAAAGTAGCCTTCGTGGGAGACTTTTTTGATGGATTTAACCTACATTTGCGTTACACGGAAAGAAAAACTACGATAACCTCCCACGGTTTGTCCGACAGCAAAGGGATTCTAATCCATGGTCGTCTACTACTGAGGATATTTAGCGTTAGAATTGTGGTCGATGCCAGCCGGAAGCAGAGTTCGTATCAACCAGCCAATTCTGGGATTTGATTCAGCGTCATCTTATTGATTTCCTAAGTTGCAGCTCTTTTCCAAGTTTAACATGTCTCTTCCAAGACGACAACGCTAGATATTATGTTGCGTGGTCCACCATAGAGTTGTATGGCGACAATAGAGTGAAGGACCTATCCAGAGTCCAGACCTGAACCGTATAGCGAATAATTGGAACATCGGAATTAGTTGAATCGCTGGGAGACAATTAATTAGAATATGTGAAGAGATTTTACGTTTTATCAAAGTCTTGTGGAAGAAAATAGTACAACTGCCATACCAGGACATTTTGAAATCCTGTCCGAAGGAGTTTAGAGCGCCACTTTCACTTTTTAAAGAATAAGGAATTTTTTCCCTAAGGCAGGTGACCTAATATTATTGATGGATAGTTTCTTAAAATTTATATATTGAACAAAAATATTGCATTTACCTCATAAAAGGCTTTCTGAACATTTCTTGCTACAGCTATTTTATCTTTCTGATAGTAAATTCCAGCGAAGACCACTACATTCAGCATGAGTAAAGAGCATCCCACGGCAATTGTAACTCCGAGGGCTGACAAGTGAGATGCTTTGTCCAAACTGAAGATGTATACCTCTGATGAGTTTGCAGAAACATTTCGATTCAGATCATTCTTTTGATCGATGGTCCCATTGAGCGACGAAGTATCTTCTGAATTCGATTTCATACTCAGCTGTTGAACTCCATCGTAAAGATTACGAATATTTCCATCGTAGGCAGAAGTATTATGATGTTCAGGCAGCATGTGATGTTGGTCCGTTGTAGTGTTGTCTGCTGTATCTAAAGCTGGGATGAGGTTGAGCCAATACGAAAGCTTGTGGGCATTGTAATGATCCTTTACTTTGGGTTTTAAAGCTGCAAAATACAAAACAAAGTATTAGTTTATTAGAACATGGAAATGAAACAAAATAAAGAAAATTACCGATTAAAACATTAATTAGATGTGTTAACACTCTATTTGATGTAAAGCTTCATTAAGTGCTAAATAGAAACTGCCCTAGTTTAAGGAAAAATATACAGTTTGAAAAATTTAGTACAAACAAGAAAAAAAAGAATAATATGCTTTAATGTAGACGATCGGATTTAACACGCACTTCGCTATAATGATTCGCTATAATTTTGCTATAATTTAATGATTCAATTTAAAGCTAATACCTTCCAATTAGTACATACCATATTCTAAGTTAACAGATATTTTTAAAACATTGGCGTTTTTTAATAATACCTCTTTAAATAAAAATGGTATTTTTATAATTTATGTAACTCAAAATAATCTAATGCTTTTAATCAACATTTGTAATTAAGAGAAAGTTAAGCTTAGTAATGAATATTTGTTACGGCTTAGTGAGTTAGTTTAGTATGTAGTAATTACTGATAAATAAGTAATTATTGATAATAATAAAAAGTACAAAGTAAGTTTAAATCAAGGTCTTACTGACCGTAATGCACTGCATTGTAAATTATATGTCATGTACTTCCTTTGTCTTATGGTTTTCCTAATTGAAGAAACATTTCTTTTATACATTAATTCAGCAATTACTGGTTATAACCCATCACATTATTTGTAAAAATTTAGTTAAATGTTTCTTTTTGTCTCTTCTTATTGTTTTACAAAATTCCTTGACCATTTAATAACCATCTTTGAACAGTCTACCTGATTTTCAGTTTGCGGCTACCAATGTTCAACCTCGTAGCCTTGTAATGTTGAACCCAATGCAGAAGACAAAGAAACTCCTGGATCACGTATTAGGAGAAATTTGCCCTCTTGGAAAATTTTTTGATGGAACTAACAAGCATTTGTGATATATGAAGAGGAAAAACACTAAAACCTCCCACGGTGAAACCTCCCACGGCAAAGGGACTCTAACCCATTATCCGTCTACTACTGAGGATATTTCACGTCAGCACCGTGGTCAGTGAGAGTCTGGCGAGGAATTCGCATCTATCAGGGATTCGATCTCGTGTCACCTCTTTGGGAGATGAGCGCTCTATCCCCTGAGCCACCACGACTCTACACACATCGATTAAGGCACAGAAAATGACGGAGTTTTATTCCCAAAGGAGGCTTACCGATCGAGAGGTACTTGCTCCTCTTAAAATAAAAATAATCGCTGGAGCACAATGTTGACCATCTTGCCACTGTCAAGGCGTTAGTTTTAAAGTTACGGAATCTTAATGTAAACGACCTGGATGTGTTTTACTTTGCTTTTAAATAATAGCAACATCGAAAAATACGGACCTGAACAATTAATTCGAGCCTGTTGCTTGTAATGCCTTTAATGGTCGAAGACAATAACATCATATGCTCGACAATATATCCCTTTTCTCTTAAATTAGACACTCTGGGGCATATTCTGGACTGCCTATACATTATAGAGGGGGATTTATTCCTAAAAAACCATCAATGGTTGCCTCAAAACTAATGGAACATTTGCCCAATTTCTAGGACCAGGATTAGAATAAATCTTTTTTTAAATTTTTTTTTCCAATGAGCTGCACAATCGGTCTTGCCGATAAGCAGACCTAGTGCGTTCTCCAGAGGTGGTATCCACTCTTTCAGAACCGCCACAATGGGTGAGATACCGTTGGTCGTGTTAATTTGGACGTAGTGAGTTTTTCACANAAGAAACTCCTGGATCACGTATTAGGAGAAATTTGCCTTCTTGGAAAATATTTTGATGGAACTAACAAGCATTTGTGATATATGAAGAGGAAAAACACTAAAACCTCCCACTGTGAACCTGACGGCAAAGGGACTATAACCCATGATCCGTCTACTATGGAGGATATTTTAAGTCAGCACAGTGGTCAGTCGGAGGCGGGTGTGGAACTCGCATCTATCAGGGATTCGAACCCGGGTCACCTCGTTGGGAGGTGAGCGCTCTATCCCCTGAGCCACCACGACTCTACACACATCGATTAAGGCACAGAGAATGGCCGAAGTTTTATTCCCAAAGGAGGTTTACCGATCAAGAGGTACTTGCTCCTCGGAAAATAAAAATAATTGCCGGAGCACAATGCTGACCATCTTGCCACTGTCAAGGCGTTAGGTTTGAAGTTACGGAATCTTAATGTAAACGACCCGAATGTGTTTTAATTTGCTTTTAAATAATAGCAACATTGAAAAATGCGGACCTGAACAATTAATTCGAGCCTGTTGCTTGTAATGCCTTTAATGGTCGAAGACAATAACATCATGTACTCGACAATATATCCCCTTTCTGTTAAATGAGACAATCTCAGGTATATTCTGGACTGCCTAAACATTATAGAGGTGGATTTATTCCTAAAAAAACCATCAATGGTTGCCACAAAACTAATGGAACATTTGCCCAATTTCTAGGACCAGGATTAGAATAAAACTTTTTTTTAAATTTATTTATTTATTTTTTTTCCAATGAGCTGCACAATCGGTCTTGCCGATGAGCAGACTTAGTGCGTTCTCCAGAGGTGGCATCCACTCTTTCAGAACCACCACAATGGCTGAGATACCGTTGGTCATGTTAATTTGGCCGTCTGGCTTCTGTCAGACTAGATGGCAGCACCGAGACTCTATTTGGATGCTAAAAAGCACTAGGAATTTTATTTAATCTAATTAATTTAATTTAATTAAGAATAAATCTAAACTCTGTAAAAAAAATCTCACCACCATACGATGTAAAAATATTTTATTACAACATATTCATGGCGTGAACTTAACTAGGATAGGGGCAAAAAGCTGCGCGTTTATACATTTATTCAAACATCTATTATTATCAACAAAATTTAGAAAATCTGCTTTCTGGCATAAATTTATCACAACTTTTAGTTCAAGTTTGATAAAGCTTCAGAGTAATTTTTCTTTCGAAGTTGAAAATTTAAGGCTCATCAATCATGATAAAATCTTTACAAGCTGCAAGAAATCTATTGATAGGTAATGGGTAATTTAAAGTTTGAAACTACCCGATAACGAAATAATAAATCTTAGAAAGGGGCTTAAATTACTTTAAAGATTTTAATCTTTGAAAGTTCATTCAAAAGATGGTATGGAATGATAACTCTTTAAAGAGTCTATTTTGGAAGTTTGGTCCGATCTGATAAGAGGGGGTAATTAAGAACTATAAAAATAGTATTCCATGAAGCGTAGAAAATTGAATTTATACTTTATTTGCATTTAATCTTGCAAATAATATAACTAAAATAAAATAAAAAGAATATTTTAAAATTTTACATTAATTCGAAACAGGTGTGTGGGAGTTAAGCGTAAGGTGATATGATTTATTATATATTTTTTATTTTGTTTAAAATGAAAAACATCTCCTGATTAAACAACAGCTTCTGATTAATTCCGAAATCATCACGCGCTGATAATTAAAATTATCGGCACAAATTTTAAGATTTGATATGCTTAAGACGCGGAAAAGTGTATCCGAAAATAGCTATTGTAAGTGTATATCATGTTTGTTAGACGTTAGATTAGAATTCTGTTTTTCATCTTTCTTGATAAAATTTTTCTTATTTTGCTTATTAACGTCAGGTGGATAATTTAAATTTTGGGGTTATTTATTTCAAACTAATTGATTTATTTGGGTAAATTAAGTGACAATGCTGAGTTATTTTAAAAACCAAGATCATATGAAACTAGTGTCGATTACTTTATAATTGCCCTCAGTTGTGAAAAAAATCTAATACTAATAATAGATTGATGGGTACAAATGAGGTATTTTTCAAAAGTATCTCTCTATCTAAAATTAATTATGACAAAACTTTGAAGGAAAAAATAAGCGCATATAAGTACGAGCGTACAGTGTTTCGGTAAGGGTTTTGTTATGCCAGATCATTATTTCCCTTATATTGCTATATTTGATTAATATCAAGTTATGTAACCTTATATAACCCTTACCTTATGATATAACCTTTAATATGATAATATTACCTTATGAACTGACATTATAATGTTGAAACTTAAAAATTTATTTGTTATTTTTTGAATCATGGGATTGTTTCAAAAAATTCACAAGACAATACATTAATTTTTCATATGTTCGAAAGTGAAAATATATATTTTCAAAATAAATTTTGTTTTTCAATACCACATTTTAACGTGTCGGAACTGAGATTAAATAGACCAAAAAAGAAATGTCTTTGTAAAATGATATGCTTTCAGATTTTTTTTTGCGTTTGTTAGAAATACTACGGTATTCTTGATAAAGAAAAAAAACTAAAATGTTAACTAAATCTGAATAAAATATAAAAGGATTATAAATAAAATGTAAAAAAAATTTTTAATAAAATATAAAACGATAAAAACATAAATGAAATATCGAATATAAAATTTCATAATACTATATCAAGTCTCTTTATTTTCAATTTTGTTATTTTATAAATTTTTTTATTCTCTTACTCATAAGTATTACTAGTCTGACTTTATTAAAGAATAAATTTATTTGCAGACAATCAGGAATCTGGCAACTATTAGACTGTTTAGCTATAATCAGAACTGTATTCAAGAAATAAAAACTCGCATTTACAAATAAATTTCATAAAAGGATTTAAATTTGAATGATAGATTTAGAAGATTTTCAAACGACTTTTAGAATCGATTATTATTTTTACCTATTTTTACTCAAATATTTCGTCAACTGTTGTTACAGAGGAGTTTCATTTGAAATATTTTCTTTTATAAATAGGAAAATAATGATTTATATTTATATATTCTAACATTTAATCGCTTTTCAGCATTTGTTATTGAAAACGTGTATGAGTATTTTCGATATTGAAAATGAAACAACTTTTAAACGCTATCTAGTTACATGTAAAGCCAAGTTCTTGAAAAGTTGAAATACATTTATCGGTAAGCTTTGTAAGCACAAATC